AGACAACATGAGCGAAAGAAAGGTAAGGAAATCTGTTTTATTTTTCGGTATATATGAACCATCACTTCTTCATTGTATGATCGAATGTTTATAAATAGAAGAGTCTTCGTTCCTTCTGTTTCTCTTGGATTACTTTTTGTGCATGTTTGCATATTCATGAATGTTCTTCGTGATGCTTGATTGCATTCAAAAGCTGATTATTACCCATGTTTTCTTCGCTCTGTTTTAGGTCCTTGTTCAGTACGGTGAGCGGCGAAAAGTTCTCGTCGTTGACGGCACATTTCCATCAACTGTTAAAAAGGAATTTAAAATCGACAGTGCAGAGACATTAGTCTTTCAGGAATATGATGATGAGTGGGGCGAGTATTTAGACATTGATGAGGTCGACTTAGCCTCTTTGAAAGACAAGGGAAAGCTTCGTGTAATATTAAAAGAAAATGTAAGTATTTAATGACATTAAATACAAGATTCATTTTGTTGGAATTATGTCCGTTTATTTTTTTTAAAACATCACTTGCTAAAAATTGTAAGAACAGTATTTAAAACCAGATTTTTTTTTACTTTGGCAATGTCAGAAATCAAACCAAGCCACCAAAAGTTCCTCAATTACTTGTACGTTGACGTGTAACCCTACTACTTGTACTTCGACATCAAAAAGTAAGTACAGTTTTCTTCCATTTATGTCATATTCAATGTTATTTTTCAAATGCATCTCTAGAATATATAATCGCTGTAAGAAGCTTAGTTTGTTTTCATGTCTTACAATGACAATGTAATATTTTATAAAAATTTTATTGGAAAAAATATGCCCTCATTTCCTAAATTTTTGTGCAAGAAAGAGGGGCCATAATACTATTAGAAATGCACTTTGAATGTATTTAAAATGAAGGATAGTTAAATCTAGGCAGTTCATCCTCCACTACAACACATGCTAGCAAGATTTCAATCCTAAACTAACTATGTAGGGGCAAGACATACTTAAGTGCTTAAAATATTCTGTGTATGTCTTTGTAACAGCTGGATCAGCAAGGCCAGCTTGTGGCAGCAGCCCTGGACTAGTTCAGTCTACTATCTGTGTCAATAATGGTAACATCCAGATTGGCCCAAAAGTAAAGGTTAGTGTAAAGTTCTACAGAGAATACAGAGGCTAGTTACTTTATTGTCAGTGCAGTTTTGGACTCATTTTAGATTGGAAGTATATGTTTTTCAATTGCTACTAGTTTAAAAATCATGGCTTGTGAGTAGTCTCCTTTTGTAATTTACAGGTCTGCCAAATCTGCAAGAGTGAGGATCCTGATAATGCCCAAGAACAAGTCCTGTGGATACAGTGTGACACATGTGACATGTACCATCAAGTTTGTGTTAGAGCATCTTGGCCACCTTTATTATGCCCTGCAGAGGATGACATTTTCTAGCACTGCCTCTCTTGTGTTGCAGTGAACACTATGTGAGGTTGTAAAAGACATATCCTTTCCAACCTGTTAATTATTAAGTCCTGACTCTGTTAGAAAAAGTTACCCTGGAGGCGGGAAATTGACATTTAGTAGGTGCCTGGGGGTGGGGAATTTGACTCTGGCTTCCATAAAAATGTCAAATTCCCCTGAGTCTGCCCGCCCCCCCCCCCGCCCCCCACCCTGGGGCTTAACATTGATAGGTGCATTACATGTTCATACTTCTTGGTGGATGTTACGATACGAGTGATACGCGCTGCTCTATCCTGAACTAGCTGTAGGCGGCTTAAGCTGAGAACTTTAGACAGTCCATATAGAAGATATAGAATCGCCTAACGGTAATCCACTTAGGTAGTCATGAAAGCATGAATAATTGCTGCAATAGATTCACGACCCAAATATTATGTTCTTATCTTACTAATATCAGTTAAATGGAAACGACATATCTTGCATATGTTTTTAATAATGTCAGTCCATATCAGCACTGGGATCGAGTATCACTTCAAGATTACGAACAGAAGAGGACGGTTGAATAGTTTCACCCCCAACACGAACAAATTACAATGAATGACTAGGATGATAACGTGAACTGAGTAGAAGCAGCTCGTTTTTTTCCTCATTTACTTTAAGACCATTAAGAATCAACCAATTGTTGATTTCGCGTACCCATATTTCAGTGCTAGACTTTGCTGAGAAGAGAAGACCTGTGGTTTATTTATTTATTCTGGATTGAGAAATAGACAAAGCAAATTCTACTTCTTTTAAGTTTTCAGTAATATAGTTTAGAAAATCAAATCCTAATTTAAACGACGACAGCGTTTGGATTATACTAAGATTCAGTTGTGCAAACTGTTCTCAATTTCTCACTGCACAAAAAGGTGATGCGCTGACAGACATCCTCATAAAGCTACAACACCGCATAAAAAGATTGCCGGGTGGTGTAAGGACAAAATTTAGCTATATTAAGGGATAGAACCTACACTTAATTATTTTATAATAAATATAAAAAAATGATGTGTGGTTGGTAGACTCTCGGGTATGGAACAAAAGAATGATCAGCACAGGAACCTTGCAGTTACTGAAAAATACAAAACACGAATTTCTTCATGGTAAGGTAGTAAAAGAACCAATCAAAATCCCCAACGTCTATTACGCACGAAACGTAATTGAAGCCCTATTTCTTTGAAACTCGTTTAAAAACGTGAAAAGTTAAGTAATTATTGCAAGAGAGATAAATTAACCGGTCGCGATCATCATTGCTATCATTTGGCTTTGACAATCCTGAAGCGAAGGTAAGTTAACTTCTAAACACGCTGTAAATAATGCTAAACGACCTAAAATTTGGCATGAATAGAGTCGTTTCTTTTATTCTAAAAATATATAGTCTTGGAGATTCCATAGCATTCAAGCCGTTCATTTTTTTTCGAGGCATATCTTAAATACGGACTGAAATATAGTGTTAACCATATTTATTGGGCTTCCATTTAAAATGATCCAAAATACTTGTAATCCAACTTTTAGTGCACAATCAAGTTAAAGGACGTTGATGATGCGATCACAAGTTGAACTGTCCACCATGTTATTTGTACTGATGTCATCGCTCATGGCTGCTTTCTGTTCTGCTAAGAACAAAAAACAACCAGACAACAAGGTAACTTCATTTATACTCATGGCCACTGCACATGGATTTGATTATAGTTGAAAATGTTAGTACGTTATGGAAAAAAATAGGAATAAAAAAATTCAAACACAAACTAAAGGTGGTATGACTTTTTGTAGAACCTCAGAAAAAATCGATATTTTGAAAAGAGAGAAATAATTTCACGTTTATAAAAATTAAAAGTAACCTTGTTACTAACGTGGTAGAAATGTATATCCTCTTTGGTGAAAAAATGAGTTTCTTTTATCACAATTAACTATTTCATGAAAGAAATCCAACCTCAAACTTGCAAAATTAAGGAACTACTTCCTCACCTGGATTGAAACGCTAAATGACAGATAAAATTGTCAAGACCTAAAGGCATTTTGTCACCGACTTTTCTCTATTTGACAGCCTGTTTCATCTTGTCCATCTTGTAATGGCGGACAAACCGGGATGTGGACATACATGACAAGCGTCCCAGGACCCCCTGGGCTACCTGGTCGTGATGGAGCCAAAGGAGACCTGGGCAGCCCGGGGAAAACTGGGACCCAGGGATCACGCGGTGCTGATGGAAAGAAAGGAGCAAAGGGAGAGCCTGGGATCAAGGGTTCCGCCGGTCAAAAAGGAGAGCGAGGGGACAAAGGCGACAGTGGAACCCCACAACTGGCTTCACACATGAACTGGAAGGAGTGTGCTTGGAGGAAGGGAGACGACAAAGATTCAGGATTGATATATGTAAGTGAGAAATATGCCTGTGTACTGATAAGAACAACAATACTGTTGATAACCTTCTCAAAACGAAGAATTCATCAATATAATTAACTTTCGTGGTGCCATAGATTGCATTTTTCAAATATTTTCTTTCTTTCTTGCATTTTTTTGTTCAGAACTGTGATTTTGTGAAGAAATACCCTGACACCTGCCTCCATGTCTACTATGCTGGTAATATCGGGATTTTCAACTGTGCCTTATGCTGTAGTCGCTGGTATTTCAGCTTTAATGGAGCCGAGTGCAGCTCTCCAGGAACTATTGACGGTGCTTTCTTCATGCGAACAAGAGGAAACCATAATCGTCACCGTCACCGCCACATTGAAGGTCACTGCAATAACATTCAGAAAGGAAAGGTGCGAGTGGGGTTCTGGGTTGGAAAGTGCGTAACAGGCCATAAGGTCGCCGACGCCTACATTGGTTGGCATTCAATGAATCGTATCTTCATTGAGGAAGTACCGAAAGCTCAGCAGTAAGCACGTGTCATACGATGAGCTGGACGTTAGACTTAAGTCATGATGTAATGAGGTTTCTAACGCAACGGTTGTTTTCAAGTCTGTGTTAGCTAAAGAATAAAGTCCAGAAAAATCGATCCTCTGTTATTTTGGTTCATACTTGTCTCACTCATTTTCCTTGTTGAGTCTTAAAATACCCGGGCCTTTCATGGGATTATAAACTGCCTTTATCTTCAACTCCTCTAATTCGGCCACCTGGTCAATATTCCATTGCGTCACCACCAGAATTGTATCGGGTCAGTTGCAGTGAGGTGATATTAAAATCTTAGATCCTTATCTCATACTTGATTCATTCAAAGGGAAAACAAAGCATAAATGTTTTTATGACCCATTATTTAGGGATTTTTAATGCATGTTGTTCCTAAAATCCCAAACAACTGTCTGATAGCTCCTTGAAATTACTAAAAAATATGCTGTAATCACGGTTGAGTGTCGTTTGAAAAGATCCATCTAACTTTTTGTGGTTTGACCTTTTTTATGGTTTTTGGATCATCCCTCGCGCGCATTTTGAGTCAAATTCAGTGATGGTCAGTTTCTATGGTTACGAGATATGATGTCATAAGTAGGAGGTGGTCAAGCCATTTTTGAGTGAAAATACATGTTTGTTCAACTTTTTTCAACTTTTGAAGAAAATCTTGTGGTTTAAATCGTGCAAAGTGCTCACTTATGAGTTATTTTTCACCTCAAGCACCAAAAATCACCATTTCTCGCAGTTTTAACCTGATTTCAATTCTTGGTAAAATCCAAGATGGCGACCATTGTTGGTGACGACACAGACCCCCAGTAGTGCCACCTGCCACATAATATTCCTTATCTTGTAGAGAATATCAAAAGCTTTCCACTGAACGTAAAATCATTTCGAAGTACTGCAACATATCAAAAACTCTAGGGATGGTTTCATCCCTTTGTACCACGGTGAGGGTATGAATTTGCATGTACGTCCGAGGGTTAAAACACAAAACAACAAAACGGGGAAAGAAAATGTTGATCTTACATCGTACATATTCCTATGCCTGAGTCATAATTTTCGCTTATTTGTTCATTTTATCCATTTCGTACATTGAAAACGAATTCGAAGTACAGTACAGTAAAGTACAGTTAAAATCCTCCAAGAGGGTAAACTTGTTACCATGGAATTGCACTGGCGACTACACGGTCGACCAGTGCAGCGAAATCACTCTTATCCTGTGTAGACCTCTTTGCCTGTTCAATGGAGACATTTAATAATTTAGCTATATTTATCCAAGGGTCCCGTTTGTATGGACGCCTAGACTTTGCAAACAACAGTTTTCTTTGTCAGCGTAGTGTTTGGACAACGGCAAATAATCGACCAATATTCAGTGGCTCCTGATAACATTTATGAGAATGTTGTTTTTAGTTACGTTTAGAATGTCGGTTTTGGTGTATCGGTCAGACTTAAGACATAGGAGACGCTCTTCAGGGGTTGGGAGTCTACTCCATCCACCATTAACCATTTGCCTCAACAACTCTATCCAACAGGTTTCCAATTTCCTGATATTTTCTTCATTTATATACCAGGCCTCGCCTTCCATTACAAGAGGCGGGATCGCACACATGCCCCCCATTAGATTAGTTCTTGGGTCTTTGTCTATGGAAAGGAGACGGTGAGTCCAAAGCGAGAGCAAGTATCATTTAGAATGTTCATGATGGTTTTCACCTCAGCTATACTTTAACGTACTTTACGAGATCATCAGCATAAAGCAGCCATCTGACTATCTGCACATCATTCAGTCTACCACTTTTCCGCTGTTCTCTGTTTGTACAGAAATGTGGGATATTTAATTCGAATTGGATACTCCTGCCATCCTTGTCAATTTCACTTGCAGCAACCTTCAAAACGTAATCGAAATAGCATTTGAATATACATGGTGACTCTTGACCTCCTTGTCTACAGCCGATCAATACTTCGAACCTCTCTTTCATTCGAAAAATAGATGCTGTAGTGTCTTGCTACATTTTATACAATATGGCAATCAAAAGTGATGAACCTGTTCTCGAGTCTAAGACTTTAAAAAGAAAATTCCTTGGAATATGACCATAAGCAGCAGTTAGATCAATATAAGCAGCAATTAAAATATCATTGTATTTGAGCTATTTTCATATGACGTCACGCCAGCCGTGTTGGTGTACAGAAATAACTCCTGTGGGATTGAACTATTAATTTTCTTATGTTAAAACTTTCTTTTGTTCCAAGAAATAGGCATAGCTGCTGAAGACGGGAACACGATCTATAGAGAGGTAATGTAAGTTATCTATTTATTGTTTTAGGCTGGTTGTGAGCCATTATATTTTAATGTTTTTTAATGTAAGCTGTTCCTAGGGTTCCAAACAATTGTGATATAGCTCCTTGACTGAATAAATAAATTCAAAAAAACATAAAAAGGGCAGCCCACATTTACAAAGTGTGGATCTTTTCAACTCTCAAATGTGACAGCGTATTTGAAATCGGGAAAAATAAATGCTGTTATCCTGGCTATATTATCGCATAATTTAATTGAATGTATGATCATCATAGTTGTGATAGCAACTGAATTAAAGCAATTTCAAATTTTTCACAAATGCAACGATCATATTTGCATATAGGTTTTTGTATTTCTGCAATTCAAATCATCATCTTTATTAGTATCCCCATACGTTCCATGTACTTTCCTAATGAGTTGCTCAAGAAGTCTGCTCAGCAGCGTTGTCATCTAAATGTATTCGTCGCTATGTTTTGAACTTGCACCTCAACCTTTTATGGCGAACATCTATTCACTGTGGAATATGTAGGTTTGGGAAGGGCAAACGCTGTACACAAAAACAAATAATTATGTAGTGTAAAACACAAAACAACACAACGGCGAAAGAAAGTGTTGAGCTTTCATCGTACATACTCCTATGCCTAAATCATCATTTTCGCTCATTTATTGATTTTTAATCGATTTCTTACAGTAAAGAGGAAGTGAGCTATATTTAAACCATAGAGCGGCTTCATATGACGTCAAGGCGGCCATATTGGTGTACAAAAAAATTAAAAATGCTGCCTGTGGGGATTGAATATTTTGCTCCAAGAAATTTGCATAGCTGCTGACCACGTGAGTGATAACGATCCAAATGTAAAGGATATGAATAACTGGGGTGCTAACTTGTTTAGTAAATGTTACCTCAACGCCCTTCCCCCTCCTCACCCCCTTTGTACGCTGTGCAAACACCATTTGCAGTCAAGGACGAAACACACTCTAGTTGGATGAAACAATCGTCGGTGACGTATCTGGGACGACCGGCCAGGGAACCCTGAGCGAATTGGCTGCGCTTCGTGATAAGGCCAATAGTGACCTTGCCCTTCATGGATATCTTTCAATTCACCTCTCCGAAACTCCAGGTCCCATTTGTTCAGAAGGTGGATAACGCTATCCACTAGATAAATCGATATCATGTGGATTCGAAAACGCAGTTGGTTTCACCAATACTTTTCCGCTAGATAGTGATTTATCCGGTGGACGGAGCTATTAAACGTTTGAACAAACGTCGGGGCGCCATAATGTTAAATTTATAGTCAATTAAAACATTCATGCTGAAATGTTTCTCTATATGATCTGTCAGATAATAGATGATAGACCCTGATAGATGCATTTGCAAATATGATTAGATTTAATTTAATGCTCCCGTTGCTTTCTAATGGTAAATGTCCTCTGTTTTTTTCTTTAAACTACATCCATCTTGAACACTAACGGTCTACCTTCAGTTCACAACTGTCAAATCAACTTCCTTAATTTTCAGCGCATTTAATCAGTTACTAATTTCCTCACCATATAGTGCATGAAAGTATAGTGAAAACCAACAAAGTGGAAACCAACAATAGGTCTAGACAGGCGAAATTGCGTGTGAAGCAAATGATGAATTTACATTGTTTGTAATAATGTTACGACTAGTTTGCCCTTGAGCGAAACTGACAACAATGTGTGTGAAGCCTGTCAAACGATTAGTTCGCCCTTGAGGGAAACTGAAAACAATATGTGTCAAGTCTGTCAACTATTGACAGACTTGACACATTGTTGTCTGTTTCCCTCAAGGGCAAACTAATCGTAATCGCATTAACGTACCAGTATGATTTTAAAATATGCATTAAGAAAATTTTGCCGTGACACTAATGAAGCGACGCTTTTTACATGTATATTTTGTTGTTCTGCTTTATATAAAGCTGAAGGTATAGTAACCAAGAAGATACAAACAGAATGATATCCGACCTTCAGTTATAAACCATTTGGTTCTCGGGTTGGTGCAGTCTGCTGTGCCTATATCAGCACCGATTACGTACTACAAATGTGGGATTTTTTTTATTATTTTAACAAACGATCTTACCAAACTCACCAGAGTGTACGTTAACAACATGGGAGGCCTGTGGTCTAAAAATACACTAACTTGTGAGTAAATATCTCGCTTTCTGTTTCATCTACGTGACGCAAATTAATCTCCAAAGAAAGAAAGCGTGACCATACTTTTTCAAGATATACGGCTTTCTGCTATTGGAAAAATCAGAATATAATAAGGAATCTGAGATAGCGAACAAGGTGTATTATAAAACTGAGAAACCTTTTAAATTGTATACGCTCTGCTCTTCAAACCTGTTCGGACGTGAACATTAATTGAGACCAAACAGCAGACACAATTAATTTACCCAATTTATAGAAGATACGAAGCTACGTCTGACAAGAAAAAGGTGTATCTGCAAAAAATAAATTTTCAATCCAGTTTTCAACGCGTAGACTAACTGAACGGAGGTTGGGAACCAGGTAAAATTGTAAATATTTATTTTATTATGTTCTCTGTTGGATTATTTAGTGAATAATTTTATTACCCCGTAACACTTGATTTATTTTCACATATCTTCATCAGCCCAGAAGCCCCACACTTAGTCCAGGAGAGACTTCGTCAAACGGTAAGCTCCTTCGTCTTACTTT